TTCTCTTATGGGAGGTGATTACCTTCATCCTCTGGCGACCCTTCTCCCCACAGAGGAGCGCTCAATGTGATGAGCAGAGAGCATATGACATGGGGTGAAGGAATAGCAGGATTTCTTTGGAAACATATCCAATATTTTGTTGTACATCTCCCAGTCCAGAGATGAATTAGAGGAAAATCAGGAATCTTGGTATCTATTATTTGGACAGCTAAAAGAGAATAAACTCTGAGGAATACATGTCCACCTTCTCTGTGGAGAGCTTGAAGCCGGGTTTCAGCCTGTGCATCACCTACATAGCAACAGTGCAGTGCTAGGGACAATGCCCCTTGCTTCCTCCTCTTTCTACCTCCCATGTGAGATAGATGTGATGTTCAAATGAAGAAGATATGATGCAGGGCAGTGCTGAGGGAACCGAAGATGCTCTGCATCTCAAGGTGATTCAGTACTATGTAGGTAAAATCAACTCTGGAGGAGAAACTCCTGATGTGTAGCCCTGTGATGTGTCGCTGTAGAGCCAGAGTGATAAGTGTAGCAGTCAGGACAGGAACAAATCTTGGCTTTGAGTCAATAAATTATCCTTAGCAAATTATTACTTATATTTAGTAGTACTGTATAGTTTCCTAACACTTTTGCACTATGTTTCATTCAGTCCTCACAGTTACCTTGAGAATGAGGCAGGGCAAGTATTATGTTTATTTCACAGAAATAAAAGTGTTTGCCTAAGGTCACAAAACTGATGGATGTCCAAAATGGAATTGTGTGAACAGAAGTAAGTTGCTTCACTCTTCTGACCTTCAACTCTGTCATCTTTAAAATGAGTTTGGCTCATATGATTTTGAAGTTCCTCTTCAGCCTTAACTTTCTTAGATTCCATTATTAAATAAATCCATGCCAGAGTGAGAGTGCCTGATAACTCTGACCTCTTAGGAGAAATTATATTTCAAATGTGAGTTCTTATTAACCCAGATTATATTATTCATAAATTCACTCAATCTTTCAAATATTCATGCAACAGATATTTGTTAATAATCTATTAAGAACTGGGGATACATGAGTCTGGTAAACAATAGTGTCCCTGATATCATGAAGCTTATCATGTTATGAGAATATAGAAAAGGAAACAGGTAATTATGAAAAAGTGTGCTATTACTATAGGGAAAGCAAGGACTCTATTAGCCCTGCTTGAAGGGTAGCAGTGTGGAGTAGGTCTCATCTGGAACAATATTTAATTATAGTTATGAATAAAACAACTTTTAGACATTTATTATAACATCAATTTTATCACATTTAATCATTACATTCTAATTATATACAATCACAATATAATTACTTTTTTAGTTTTCATAAAAGAAATGCACAAGTATTAAAAAATTATTTTGAGATCTTTTATAAGGTACTATTAGTAAGTTGTTACATATTAATTTGTAGATCTGATATATTGATCGGCATTAATCTATGCAGACATCTTTGTCCTGACAAAATGTACCCTTGCTTGGGCTATATTAGCCTTCCTTCAACAAGGCCTTCTCAGTTGTACCTCTTACACTCTTTAGAAAACGCATGAGATCAGTCCCTCCAGTTCCTTTGTTTTCCTGGTCTGATGGCTCTTGAGATGTTTGGTTTTTCTTGGACTGCTGGTGGGCAGGAATCACAATGTACTTAGTTACTATTTGCAAATGGTAGCTTCTCAGGGAGACCATAGCATTCACACACTCATTATAAGTTGCCTGTAGGCTAGTATCACCTTTTGAAAGTACAAACTCACGAACTGAGGGACCTGACTCTAGTGAAAGAAGAAAGTTCTGGTGAGCTGGTGGCATATATGTTCTCATTTCCTGGAGGAATTCAGCAGCTGATGCTGAAAGAACAAGAGAAAGATGAGTTAGTAGGGAGCCTGAAGCTTACCCCAATCCACGGGAGAAGGGCAGAGTGAAGTCAGAGTGGGTGGAAGATCACAGGCCAGCATCGCAGCAGGAGGCAGTGAATTTACAAACCTCTTATTAGAAAGCCATTAATCTTGTTACTAGTAATGATAATTATTGTAAAATATATTTACTTCTGTAAACCAGATGAGCTAAACACATTCTTTCGCAATAAAGATTCTATTTGTGCTTCCTTTCCCACTTTCCTACTTTATTTGATCCTTCTAAGAAGTAGATGATATACATAGAGTATATATAATCTATACACTGAGTCCAACAGAGTTGAAGGGGTTTTGAAACAAGCAAATGAACTAAGAAAAAAGCATGTTTTCACCCAGCCTAGTGTTTCCCCTTTGACTATTAAATAGAAGTTTAGGAAAAAAGAGAAAAGTTAAAAGAAATTCTTCTTATAAGCCCTTATAATGAAGGTGGCTCATCTTCAAACTTTGGTGCAGGCATTGCCCCTGGGTTGCCAGGGCAGCAGGATGGCTGAACAAGAGCAGGATCAATCCTGTTCTCATCACTGAGGTCCCCCTCCCCGACTTCTACTCACAGTCCCATCTCGTTTGCAGGTGACTTTCTCTTTCTGAATCTGATCATACAATTTCAGAACATGTAATATTGACTTCACAACAGTCAATTAGGTCTTATGTACAGGTTTAAATGTCAAGATCGAGAGGGTGATGAACTTGGGTTTGTGTTCTGACTTCACGGCTTTCTAACTGGTTAATAGGGAGCCAGTCACTTATCCATTTTAAGTTTTTGCTTCTTCACCTGTGAAATGGGATGATGGCAATAAAGCTTCTACTTTGCTGATTCTCATAAAAGCTTCAGATAAGCTCAGATAAGATGCTGATGAGAAGGTATATTTTAGATATTAAAATACTAATAAGAGATGATTAACATAAGAGATGATTATTGTTTGTCATTTTCTACTCACCTTCACCAGCACTCTGCTGGACGCCCAGCAGAACATCAAAGCACTGAAAGATGCTGCTTTGGGCTGCACTACCCCCAGCAAACTTCTTTGGGGTATCCCAGACGCCTTCATACAGCAGACCCTCTGGCAGTTGGGGGTTGCCTTTCCAGCTAGGCCAGGAAAGAAAAAAAAATCATTTTTTTGATTAATTGCCAAATTTTCAGATATAAAATCTTGCAATAGAAGATGAATAGGATGTGATGCAAGATAGATTTCATTCTTCTTCTTCTACATTTCCGTTTCCAGTCATGTGCATGCATAAGAATAATAAATCACATGGTTCCGAGCAAATTTGGCCTAAGTATTCCATTAATGGAAACTACTTTTGCATTGGCAAAGACAATTCATCTCTCTTTAAAATGATTAGCTTTTCTGTCCATATACTCCAGTCCATGCCTGGCCAAGCAATAACAAAGAGTATAGTCTATTTTTTTTCCCACAACATGTATTTTAGGATATAAATTGTTTTCCAAACCCAATGGATAGTGGGGATCATTAGTAGGAACTTGGTGTATTCTTATGTTAAATGTTTAAGAAAAAAATTCAAACATATGACTACATACCCAGACAAGTATATGCGGAGAACATTAAAAAATAGGTTTGGGTCCACATATTCTGTAAAAAGATGGGACACGTTTAGTTAAGTAGCATGAGAGAGATCAGGCAAAATCAAGACATTGTAAACAACTGGTAGTGGATTTCAGCAGAGGCTGCAGAAAAGGCATTAGTTTAGTTTCTGCAGAAAAAGCCCCTGAATACGAGATCTCACTCATCTGCCCTCTCCCAGGTGAGCCCTGCTCATCTCTTGTCTCCTGAATGAGGTCTACTGTAGGGTTAACAAACAGCTTGTGTCCAACAGCCTGGGCTCACCTACCACTCATCCTCAGATCTATTAAACTGTCAACATTTATTTAAGGCTACTTCATGTGCTTACTAACATAAGAGGTAAATTACTTCCATAAAGAAAGAAAGAAAAAATCGAAACGAACAGAAACAAAAACCCCAACAGCCCTATGGACCACATCTCTAAGTCTCCCCACTCCCCCAAAGCTTGCTAAGGGCTTTGATTTGACAGTCAGTCTTCTCACCAAGGACCAATCAGCATTAACTCAAATCCCAGTGACACGGTCACATATTTTTTAAGTCTGTCCAGTAGGGCAAATTTCCTTTGGCAAACCCTATTTATCTACTTCTTTGGTTATTGTTGTTTTGTAGCTGTTATTTTTATGATTATTTTTGAGCTCAATGATTTTCTATGTTGTTTCTTAGTTAAATCGTAGAGAGCTCCTATCAAGCAGAAGCTAAGTCTTTTAGAACTTGAAACAACCTGCATCCTTGGCAAGTTTCTCCAAGGTTTTTAGTGGGAGCCACGGATGTTCCTTAGAGTTAAATAGACCTAGCTTGAAATATTGGTTTCACTACTTGCTATCTACATAATCTTAGGTCATTTATCTGGTTCGTTTGTTTTTTTATTTGAAACCTATGTAACTTTACTAATAATTGTCACCCCAATAAACTTTAATTAAAAAATAAAGAAAGAAAAGAAAAAAATAAAATATCAAAAAAGATGACCTTATCTGATTTCTCCAAATTTAGATTCCCTTATCTATAAAATGGACATAATAAAGTCTACCACTTGGAAAATATAAAGATTTAGTGAGAAAAAAATAGATAAAGTGAAATACACCTACTAAGTGAGAGTTATTTTTGCTTCAATTTCCTCAACAACTCTTTATCTCAGAAAATTATAAACATTTTATAGAACTAGAATGATGTATGGTATACAATACTTGCCATGAATTTGGTGAAACACCTCAAGGGCTTTCTTCAAACAAGAAGTTATATCACTCAGTGCCTTTTTCAAAGTGTCTTGCTCCTGATGTTGTACTGCATTGAATATGGTGGGAATTACCTTTAAACACACACACACACACACACACACACATATAAGATTTCCTAGAATTAAACAGTAGCATAGAATAAAATTCTCCTAAATATTAATCCCTAAATTAAATTTGGGATTTTCACTTTTTTCTAGGGCAGAGTACCCTCCAATTGTTTGACAAATTTTCTTATATTAAATTAAGCTTCAATGTTTTTTATTCATTTATCATTTTGAGATAAGTTTATAGAGTTTTAAATATTTCTATTTCTACTTCTAATAATGAAAACCATTAGTTTTATGTCAGTATGTAATATGGTTTCAATGCCAAATTGCATTGAAAATATTTCCCTTTTATTGGAGTTTCAAATTTGATTCCCAATGTATGGCTCTTACATCTTATATTTTAGGCAATTCGCAAAAATAAATAAAATAATTGTTTCTATCAGATTATCCCTTACCTCCAATTAAATAATCAAAAGCTACATTTAGTCAGGGTAAAATTATTTTATATATAATATAATTCAGTTACTAAAGTGATTACTCTGCTTATTTAAAATAAGATGCAAATTTTCCAGTGTGAATAGACATACTTTTATTGCAGAAGCAGCTGCTATTTCCACTAACAGAGAAACCAGGAAGAATCCTTTACTGCAGTCCCCACCAGGAAACGAAAACAGGATGTCCATATTCCTAAAAAATCAGCCAAGGAAGTCAAGAATTTAGCAATAATATCAGTATATTTGTTGAGTACGTTATAATTTTTAAGCATTTTTACTTGTCCTATTTTATTTTGAATATAGTCTTGTGCAATAAGTATGACAGGTTTTAGTATCTCCATTACATAGTCGGGAATATTAACGTTAGGTCCATTGTTTAAGATCATATAATTAATAGAAGCTTAAGTTATGACTTGCAATTCCATTCTAAAACTTGAAATTAGAAATTCCAAGACCATTTCTGTTATTGCATTAACTTTTCACATGCATATACATACATATACACACACATACACACACTCAATGTTTGTAGAGCTATCTGTGAGATATAATTTTAAGAAGTGGTCTTTTTGCTTAAATAAACATATATATTTTTAAATTTTTATTAAGTTTATTAGGGTAACATTGGTTAGTACAATTATATAGGTTTCAAGTGTACACTTCTATCATACATCATCTATATATTGCATTGTATATTCACCACCCAGAGTCAGTTCTCCTTTCACCATCCCCTCTCCTTCCATTTGACCCCATTTACCTTCTTCTACAACCGGTCTCCCCCTTACCCTCTGCTAACCATTAAACTGTTGTCTGGGTGTATGAGTTTTTATTTGTTTCTTTTTCATTTGTTGCTTTCAGTTTTATATTCCACATATGAATGAAGTCATATGGTTCTCAACTTTTTCTGTCTGACTTATTTTGCTTGGCATAATAATCTCAAGATCCACTCATGTTGTTGCAAATGGCAGTATTTCATTTTTTCTTATGGCTGAGTAATATTCCATTCTATATACTAGAGGTGCCAAAAAAATGTATACACATGACTTGTATTCATCTTTTGTTATCGGTATATATTGAGTATTACAATTTTAATACAGGTTTTTCTGTTCTTAAAATGTGTATACATTTTTTGGCACCCTTTGTGTGTACCACATCTTCTTAAGCCCATCATTTGTTGTAGGACAACTTGATTGTTTCCAGCAATCCCTCTTCTGGGCATCTACCCTAAAAATCTTAAAACATATATCCATAAAGATATATGTACCCCTATGTTCATTGTACTGTAGTATTATTCATGGTAGCCAAGAAATAAACATATTTTTATCTGTGAACCTGATTCAGTTTCTCAGTGGTTTATCTGCCTTTCAAAGGAATTGACTGGAAAGTGAAATTAACTGATTAGACCCTATTCTCCTTTTTATTGAAGTTTTGCATTGGTGCAAACTGGTCTCAGTATCTGTATATCTATGAATTTCATGATGGTTAAATTCACATTCCCGGAAGCCAGACCATTTCTGCAGCTTACTTGCTGTGTTAGCTTGAGCAAGATATTTCACCTGTTTCTGCCCTAGTGTTCCCATATGTAAAATGGGACTGATGATATCATTCTCTCGTTTAAAAGCCTTCCATAACTTCCTATTTATTTTAAGATACTGTTTAAACCCTTTAATATAGACAAAAGTCATGCATAATCTTTTTTTAAGTTTATTTCTTCAGACTTTCCAATACTGTTACTTTCATCACTCATTATTTATCAGCAACATTAGCCTTCCTTCAGTTCTTATAAGGTACCAAGGTTTTTGTCACGTTAGGGCCCTCACTCTTGCTTTATACTCCACTATGAACACTCATTTTTTTTCTTTCTTCTAGCTAATCCCTACCCACGCTTGAGGACTCAATTTAAATAACTTGTTACAGGGATTTCTCCTTCATCTCTTTTATTTGGTTGGAGCTTCCAGTACTTTATCTTCTTACACCTTCTTTTAATCATGTACAATTTGCATATACTTTCTTCTCCACTAGTCCAGCTTCACTAGGGCAAACTTATACCTGTAATATTTACCTTTGTATCCCTAATCTTAGCCTCATACATAGATCAAAAATACAAAAATTGTATCCAAAAGACTTATGTTTCTGGCCACTGAGGTCATTAAGTCATAGATACACTTATGTAAGTGCATTTTGTATTTATAAATATAATTACATTTTTATGTATGCAAGTATTATTTTCATATATGTCTAAAATATCAGACAGTCATAGATATAATTAAGGACTGGAACTTTTTACTCTTTATTTTTCTTTATGAGTTGTCTACTTTAAAATTTTTATTATTCTTATGTTTTAGTACTGAATGCTTTCTTTAAATAAAAACATGTGGAAGTCCATTATGAAAACAAAAAGTGGAGTTCTACCTGTTAATGTTGGCCTGTTGTGGGGGAGGGTCATGAGTGTTTCTCTCTTGGTCCTTCTCCAACCAATCCCTGGCCACCCTGGATATATCAAGTAGGAGCCCCCACAATTCCTTGAATTACTTTTTTTTGCCTGAATTCAATTGACTATTTAATAAATGTATTTGGGGGATATTGATAAATCTATATTCACTTTGGATAACAAATAATTCTTAGACTAAAATAAGAATCAAATACTTACTCATAAGTCATGGGCCTTATGAAAGCAGCAGTGAAGGAATGGGCCAGTTGGAAGAGAGAGAGAAAAACAATTTAAAGAGCAAATGGTTTTGAGTTATTGTTATTCGATTTAATACTACTATTATTTAATTTAATACTACTTATAAACTGTTATTAGATTTAACTAATATTAAAGTTAAGATATAGTTGAATAAAAAAGAAAAAAATGTTTTTTTAAATATTTCTCAAGTAGTCGTTGCAAACACTTAACTTAGGACTTTATTAGTGAAATAAAAAATTAAATATGCGAGGAACACACATGGATAGTCAAAGCTGGTAGTAACTAACAAAAAACTTTTCTAGACAAAATCCTTTCATTTTAGACTATTCTCATGTCTAGAATATTCTTCTGTAGATGCACACCCAGAGTCGTGGGGCACCACGATTCTTTTATCCCTTTATTGTAGTGAATCCCTTCACTACATGGTTAGGAAGGGCCTGAATTCTGAGCAGCTGCTCTCAAAGGCTAGCCATTGCCATTGCTGAAGATGTGTTGACTCAGAAACTCAACTGGTTACTTAAAATTAGATTTGTAGAATTCCAGAAACATGTTAATCAAGAGAAGCCAGACATAAAAGAGTACATACTGTATGATTTAATCAACATGAAATCCAAGAACAGAAAACACTAATTTTTGGTATGACAAATCAGAATATATTTGCCTGAGGTAGAGGAGAGCATTGAACGAAAATAGCCACAAAGGAGTTTTCTGAGGTGATAGAAATATTCTGTGTCTTTCTTAGGGTTACACATGTGCATATTACAGTCAGGCTCATCAAAGTGAACACTTAAGAATTGTGCATTTCATTGTATGTTAATTGTACACCTCTCTCTCATATATGTACATTTGGAGTTACAGATGCACCAAAGAAACCATACTCTCCAAACAGAGAAGAAAGCTGTGCTACCTAAAAATTAAACAACTCACTCTCTTTTGATTTCAATAGTATGCAGTCCTTTCATTTTTGTTATAATCACTGTTTGCTTACCCACTGGGATCTTTTTTCTTCCAGTTTGCCAAGACACAGTCTGCATAAACCAGAATTGGCGGCAGTCCCAGCTTCTCAGAGAGTTTGCAGTAAGGGACAGCAATATTGCTGGGCAGGACCTAATTAAAACACAATATTTAGTTTAAACTTTGAAGGGTCTTACCTTTCATTCTGCTTCCTGAGTGCCAGAGCATTAGCTGCTACATAGAATGGCACTTCGAAAAGCAAACAAATTTAATTTTCTCTTCCTCTTTTCATAACTTAGTCTGATAACTGTTAAATGTTTAGGTTTTGAATTTGTATTGATGTGGACTTAATCTAATCATAGAAGGAAAAAAAAAAAGAAGTAGAGGGCAAGGATAACAATGGCCTTGTGGGTCATTGGCAGTTATTCATTCATCCATCCATTCCATGAATACTGGTTAGGCAACTCCTCTATGCAAGATATTCATTATCTACCAGCAATACAAAGATAAAATCAATTGTCTCAAAGGATCTCAAAATTATTCATAGTTTTGGATATGATACATACTAGAAGCATAACAAGATTGCCGTTCTTGGAGCACAGTGCTGGCAGAAATTCTTTACTGAATGATTTTTTTTAGAAACTCTCATGGTAGAGTGACATTGGTGCTTAGCCTTGAAGGCTTACTTGTTTTGGTAGGAGAAATCTCTTTTACCCTCACTTTATATTTCCGAGCAGAATATATCAACTGGAGTGACACTCTTGGCTTATCTCAACTCTTTCACTCACCCTTCCTCAGAGGAAGTTTAGAGGCTGAGCTAATTGAGTTTGCAAGTGAAACTGAAGCTCAGTGTTCTTTTCTTCTCAATTCTTTTCCTGAAATTGTTACTCATAGAATTCTGCTCAGTGTTTGACCACATTTCCTCCATGGGGCAATCTATAATGTGTAAGTGCACTCAGCAGGACCATGGTTGCCACATATTCCCCCTACATTCTTCCACTGCTCTATTAGTCATAAAGCTGATGTTTTGTTTATCTGCCTGACTTCTCATCTAACTACATTTGGTTTATAGACAGATGGTGGGTCCTATGTATTAAGGTCATGCTTATTATCATCAGCAGGCTATGGTTGAAATATATGTATCTAATCAGGCAATAGATAGGAATATGTACCCCTTCTGGGGTAAGTGGGTAGTGGGACTTCAAAGTAAGAGATGGTGTGACTAGGGGACCCACTCCACAGTTCTGAGGAAATCATGGGAGTTATATAACGCCCATGATTAGTAGGCTTCAGATTAGCTTAATATACCTAGTGAAGATTGTTTAACCAAGAGAACAAAAATATTAGAATAGAATCATTGACTATTAAAGTTAACACTTGGATGTGTACTTCCCTTTGAAGACCTCATGCCACTGGGGGTTGAAACATTCTGCTTGGCAAATGATTTCCACATATTTCAAAATAAAATTTCAAAATAAAATGAATTACAGAAAAGGTCAAGGGAAACAAAAAGGGAAGAAATTTAATTGAATAATTAATTTGAAATGACTTAGGAAAAAGAAAGGAAATATTCAAACACAGCTTAATCTATTATACACTTGAGCAGCTGCGAAGAAACTCAGATGCTAATTTCTTGCCCATTCTCAAGCAAAATGTATCTTATATTGATATATCTTATTTTTATCCATTTATTTTCTCTTTCCTACAATTTCCTCTTAAATATTTATTCTCTCTCTCTCTCTCTCTCTCTCTCTCTCTATATATATATATATATATATATATATATAGAGAGAGAGAGAGAGAGAGAGAGATAGGTATAGATATAGATATAGATATAGATATAGATATGGCATACAAAAACTAGATAGATTACAAAAATAGATTTCTGTTTTCTTTTATACTTGTGATCTACAGTCTAGTAACTTTATTATCTTTTGATTATGCCATGTACAAAAAAAAATCTCCACATTTTCTGCTAGTCTTCTGTCTCTTGTCAGATTCCCTTCTCTTTGCATAAGCTCTATCAATCTTTCAAAAACTAATTCAAGTCCCAATTCTTTCTTGAAGCATTTCATGATCAAGTCAACTGCTATTTATTTCCTCTGGATGCTGTACCGAGCATATGCTGCCCTTTAGTATTGATGCTGCATTATTGTTGTTCTTTTTATATACTATGCCTATGTATTTTGCTAGACTCAGATTCTAGCAAGTCTAGTGAGATGATGTGCTTAGCTAAATTTTAAGCTACTTATAGTAAGACTAGAACTACCCTTAAACTTTTTTTTTTGTTATCACAGAATCTAGGCAGTTTGATGATTATAAGGAAGTATAAGGGATTCCCATGTTTATATAAAACAACTGTTTCCTCTTCTCTAAGTATCAGGGGGTGGATGACTCATCACATAGTTGGACTACATATGTTGTTCTATCTTTAAACAGGGTGTGGAAAGAGAAAAAAAAAAGAAAAGAAAATACAAATTCCCATTGTCATAAAAGAAAAACCTTTTACTCAATAGCAGAAGGTGTTTCTGGAATCTATTTTATTCCTTTGTGATTTAAAGATCAGGTATTATGGTCTATATTGGTCTCCTGTGATTAGGGTTTCCAGATAAAATACGAGATTATATCATTTTAAATCTAAAGTTATCTACTGTTGATGACAGTAGAGTGAAACCAATATATTCTTCTATGTTGACAGATGTAAGATAGCATTTTAGCTTTAACTAAGAATAGCCATAAAATGTTCATATCTCCCAAAAGTCATAAATAGAGAAAAATGTTTCATATTTAAATATATTGATTGTAGTGTCATTTGCAATGGTATAACATTAAAAACAAAGAATTTATCAATAGTGGGTTGAATAAATAAAGTTCAGGAACTCAATGAAAAATTATAAAGTTATTTCAAATGATGACTAGGATGATTTTGTATTAACTAAAAATGCTTACAATATAATTTGAGTGAAAGAAGCAGAATATACCTGTATATATGCATAGAATGGAGCAACTGTGTTATATCAGTAAAAGCCTAAAATCCAATAATGATCACAGTTGACACATTAAGTCAGTGAATGATGTTTTCTTTTCCTTTTTTCTTGTTACCCAAGTTTCACAAAATGCAATTATAATAGTTTTAGATTTTTTAAACATTAAATGTAATTGGATCTAAATCTGTCAGGTATCATAAGAAATATTAGAAAATCTCCAAACCTTACGGACATCTCCGTCACCCCGATCCCACACATATGCCATGGTGATATACCCCAGGACCAGATGTGCAAGGCGCTGGGACTTGTGTCCTTGGAGGTCATCAATGCTGAACATTGGTAACTGAGAACAAATGGAGAGGTTGATTCAAATCAATGTGGGTGACATTATAACTTCAAAACCAAATTAAAAATGTGAAGGAGTTATAATGAAGTAGACAAATGTAATGCTTATTCAAACCTTCTCAACTTCTGCACGTAGTTCACCATTCTCAATCAGGGCAGTCAGATTTTTAGCAATGGAAATCCAGGCATCAAAAGGATGAGGTAGTTCCTCCTTGAAAAAAAGAAATAGGACTTTTTTTTACTAGGGAGTTACTGTAAATAGCTCAGTAACTATTCATCTTGCCTCTAAGGCAGTTCTGTGCAATACTGCCCTGACACACACCTGTCTAGCAACACAAGCCCATGCACTGCCACCTGCACATTCAGAGCTCAATACCTTCTCTGCTCTCTTCCTTTTCCTCGCTCCTCAAGCACTTTCATCTGCCTCTTTTTCAAAAGTCACCTCAAAGTTTCCACTAAAATCTTCCTGACAGCTGCAGTCTATTTTCATATCTCCAATTATGAATCCTATGGGTTATACCATTTTACATTGCTAAGTAATATATTGTTATATACTATTATTTTTTTCTTTTTGGCTAGATTTTAAGTCTCTTTAAATGGAAGAAAAATGAGATTTATTAAGTGTCAGTAGTAGACTAGACACTTTGCTCAATAATTTCTCATTTAATTATTGTAATGACCCAAAGAGTTGATTGTTATCTCCATGTCATAAATAAAGAAAACAAGGGTTAGAGAGTTTACTAACCTGTTTTGTATATATAGTTTATTGTTATTCAAACATGTTTCCAACTTTCAACAACCCATGCTCTTTCTATATATTACTACCTGATGGCAAGGGTTTTATCATGCTGTTAATCCTACATTTCCTACAGGACCTGGCACAAGTACTGGGCACGTAGGAAATGCCTTATATACACACGTTGATTTCCCACTTTGGTTCCACTATAGACTTATTTTTTGACCAGTAAGTGCAAATAAAATCCAAATACAAGAGTCACATTTATAATCTTATCTCAAGGGAAAGAATGCAAACAAAAGACCTAGGAAACACCCTAAAATGAGAGTCAGATCCCTGAACGAATCCCCAGGTTTCCTCACCCTATCTCTCCTTTATTAAGCTATTTCCAGACATGCCCTTGTTGTCATCAATGCTGACCTATGAGGGTGGAGTATGAATTAAGAGATTAACTCAAATCAACATGGATGAGGTTTTAAGCTGCAAAGCAAAGTTAATATTATAAATAAGCTATAAAATAAGAAGACAAATGTACTATAAAATTCAAGCATGTCAGGGACTGCAGATAATTGGCCAGTCTTAATCTGTAAGAGCGGATTTTTAGCAACAAATATCCAAGCAGTGTAATCACTAGTCACTTTCCTTGTTTACTTTGAATTCCACACAAATGCTGTGCTCTTACCCTTGAAACCTGATCTAGAGGTCTCCATAATTCTTTTATTTTTTAAGAGAACCGACTCCTTAAGGGTACAAAAAACCAATATGAGATTTTGTATTTCTGAAAAAGATTTTCTTTGTTTTAATTTTACCATTGATAAGTACATCCCTGGCACAAACCAATCATAGCAATTGTGTATGCTTGTATGGAAGGGAAATAAGTCTGACTTATGTGTTTTTTGCAATAAAATTAAAACCTATACTTCATATTCTTAAATTAACTTTGTGATTTGAAGAGAAGAATTGGATTAGGAGGAAGCATTTTTTTAGATTTGCCTGTATCACAGGATGTTATTTCTAAGTACAGGAAGATTGGAATCTCTTACTAAAAACATATTTGCTGCTTTTGGAGGTGCTTTCTAGAGTGTGGACTCTGAGCCACAAACAAATAGAGATATATTGTTATACATTGTTGCTATAACATGTAACTGGTTCCTATAAATACTTTCCTGGAATCTCATGTATCTTGTTAATCCTGAGTGGTCGGTAGGGAGGGAAACATGTTTAGTGATCTCTTAAGAGAAGGCAGCACAATATAATGATTTTAAGGTCACGGACTCTGGAGCCAGACTGGTTAGGCTCACATCCTATCTCTGCTATGGCTAGTTGTATGAGTTTGGATAATTACTTAAATTCTGTGTAGTTTACATTCCTCATTAGGAAACTGAGGTTAATAACATACATACCTTTTAGGATGGTTGTGAAGATGGAAAAGTTAACATTTGTAACTTGCTTAAAAATGCTATATAAATGTTTGATAATTAAAATATTGATGATAAGATGGTTGTCATGTCATTCTTTGGAAGACAAATTAAGGAAATGTAGTTGTTAAGGCAAACATTGCCTGCCTTGCACTTTGTAGACAAAGCTTACAAAAAAATAATAAATAAAAGGTAGTTCAGACTCCCTTGAATCTTATGCTTAGTAACAATAAACAATATTAATATAACACAGTTGTTAGATGTCCCATCTCAAAAACTAATCAAACTACAAATATATGCTTGGCACAATTAAAGTGCATCTGCCAAGAAAGCGGATTCCTTTGACTAATAGGTTATTTATTACTTTGGTTTTTTTCAAAATGCCCTCTAAAAATGCAATTGTATTAAACCAAAATATGTCCATAGTTTCTTTATTTCATCACTGTCTGTATCTGCGTAAGAAAGTAAGAAGTGCACCTAAATTTCTAGGTACAAAAATTTTAAGAAAATCAAATGAGACCCATTTATTAAAACTTTGTCTCCAATTTTGGCATGCTCTATCCATTTGTGCAGTAGAAATTACTGAACCACGTTTTTTCAATAGAGGTAAATTTATCCAGCTAAGTAATGATGAGAAAATATTTTTGCCATAATTCAGTGCCCTCTCTTACCAGTGGATTTGGCAGAGCAAAGCCCACATCTTCATCTATACGGTGTTCTTCACAGATTTTCCAAGGACTTTCCACAGGAGATGCCTCATGCACCATTCTTGCAGTCACCTCCTCTGGTTCTCCTCAGTGAGAGAAGTTTCACATCTATTTATTAGAGAGGTTGCCATGGGCAACTTGTCATGTAGGCAGTAAGAAATTACTTCCACTTTTGGAACAGTTTCATTTTTACTTTCTTTCTTTGTAATTCAATAAACAATAAAATGCAAAAGCATCACTGTTCATCATATGATGAAACTAAAATTTTATATTCCATATCAAATCTTTATCACAGAGAACATCTTTTGTTTACTGCCATAGGGAAAATCAGAAAGGACCTAACTGAAATAACAAAAACCATGAAAATAGGTGACTAGAAGAGAACATTTTTATTTTATGGGAACTTTTAAAACTTTGAATTAAAATAATGAATTTTTCCCAAGGCTAAAGTCTTTTTTATAAATCTTGAACCCATTTTTTTAATGACCATTCAGCATTTGCAAGAGTTAAAGTTGTATTTAAAGACTTTAATAGGCTTTTTTTTTGTTTTATTGACAAGTATGTCAAATTTTATTTTATAACAATGCAAACAGAGTTCAAATGCAAACTGTCTTTTGCATATCAAGTATTTGAAACTGACAATGAAGCTCCAGTTTGTAGAACACGCATGGCAAAACGGTCACAGAAAACTAGCTAGGCAGCTAATAAGAGCACATCAGTCACAAAGCACTTATCTGGTATATGTAAAATAGAGATTTGGGGTTACAGTGCCTGGAGCTGTGCCTGCTAGGAGCCCCTAACCACCTTCACCCCAACAAGTTGCACCTTGGGCTGTGAGCCCAGCTCTGTGGGCATTTGGAAGATGAACTCTACTGGGCCTATGGGTTCCTTGTCCATGACGGGCAGCTGCGTACTTTGCAGCTGGCTGCTGATGTAGAGGCCCAGATGCGACTATTCTGGATCCCACCTGAAAGAACCGTAGGCCCACCGGTAAACCTGACCACACTTGGGTCTCCCTTCAAGGAGCCCTGGAAAAGACTGCAGTGTGTGACCTTGTATTTCTGCCACTCCAAGCTTCCTTGGCTAAGCAGAGGGCTGAGAAATCAGTGTCTCGCCATCCAACCAGTGGCACACACGGGTCAGGAAGCTCAGAGACAGAGTGTATGTACTCTCACAATGTGCCTGCTCCCTCAGCCTGTTCTTCTCTTCCCTCACTTAATCCTGTGTTCCGAGTTCTGTTCTCACTTGTAAGGTTGTGAAGGCTAACGTCTTAAACTATCACTTAGTTACTATTGTCGTTGGGTTTCTTTTAACCTGTCAAGATTTTTGAACATATTAGTGTCTTGTTTCAGCAGCCATGAAATACAACGTGTGATACACTGAACTATTGATCAGTGACTCTGAAGAAGAAAAAAATGGAAACACATGAAACATTTACAAAGAAGCACCTCTCCACCTCCCCATTTTTCTTACCCAGTCGTTTATTGTTTTTCACCATGATACAGTGTTTCTTCCCCATATCGCTAGTAAGTCATTTTTAGGAAGATTGTTATGCATCTGTAGTATATCTGACTGATAGGGGCTGAGGAGGCAACAGTCCTTCAGATTTGAAGACTTTGTAATATGTTAAATGTTGAAAGAAAGGATAAGGTACTTCAAAAATATTTCTTTCAAAATGCATGTTAAGACTGCCTTTGGTAAAGGTTTTCAGGGTGAATGTGGGTCTATGGACACTTGCAGCGTTATTTCTATCTTACTGAGGCAGAAGCAATCAAAAGGAGCAAGGAGGAGTTGGTGTTCAGCACATTAAGAGACAGTACAGTTTTGTCATCAGCTTGTTGGAAAGTTTTAATAACACATGGCCTCGTGACTGTATTCTAGAATAGTTCCTAAACTGTTCTTCCTGATTGCATTATGGCTTTTATTTTAAAGATGCCGTTTTACAAGAATATGTTCTTTTCATAATAAAGGTAAGGGAAACAGAAACGAAAATTATACAGCAAAAAGCAAACAGTGGCTCAGCTTCTTTAAGATGAATGATTCATAAAGCTAATACTGTTGAAACCAGCTCCAAGGAAAAATGAACAAATAGAAAAAAAATGTTGACCTATCATATCTACCCGGAAGCCAAAAATACCAATAAAATGTTGAGAATTTTTAAATGTGTAGTTATTCTGATGGTTTTTCATTCTTTGTACCTGAAATTATTTATGGGTGAGTCAAAACACAAGCATGTAATGAAGTTTTAGATAATTCTGCCCTGGAAAAATCTCTGAGGATTGATTTTTTTTTCCAGAAATGTGGCTTGATAAAACTTTCTTTGGCTCTTCTTATCCAGCTACTTAACTAAATCTATTCTACATTTGGCTGCAGAAACAATAATACTTAATTATCCTACTTTTATCCCCTTTTTAACTCCTTCAAATTTAAACACCTTCCATAATTCTGAAATACATTCTCAACTGATCCTCA